GAAATGTCAATTCTTTCTTTTTTTGTGCTGTTGGGTTCTTTTTTTTTTTATATTTTTTTTATTCCTTCTTTTTTAACTTTTTTTTTTAAAACGTTTTTTCATTGTTTTTCCCTTCTTCCTCTCTCTCAAAAACCACAAACTTCCCTTTGTCCATTCATTCCCTAGAAACAAAATTTTTTTTTTTTTTTTTTTTTTTTTTTTTTTTTTTTCTTCCTTTCTCTCTTTTAAAAAATTCCCAACTGGCAAAAAAAAAAAAATATAAAATTAAAATTTAAAAAAAAAAATAAAGCCAAAGACACTCTCACCTCCCTCTTGCTGCTCTCTATCCCGTGGGATGCTAAAGGGAAATCCAGACTCATGCTTTTCTTATTTTTTAACAAAAGTGCTTTTTACTTCAAGCAAGTGCTTTGGACCAAGGGGTCGGAGAGAAACTTCCTTTTTTATTTTTATTGGGGTTTTTTTGTTGGGTTTTTTCTGTTGGTTTTTTTTTTAATTGGGTTTTTTTTTTTAATTGGGTTTTTTGTTGTTTTTTTTGTTTTGTTTTAATTGGGTTTTTTGGGTTTTTTTTTGTTTTAATTTGGTTTTTTGTTGGGTTTTTATTGGTTTTTTGTTGGTTTGTTTTTGTTTTAATTGGGTTTTTTTGTTGTTTTTTTGTTTTGTTTTAATTGGGTTTTTTGTTGGGTTTTTTATTGTTTTTTGTTGGTTTGTTTTTGTTTTAATTGGGTTTTTTTGTTGAGTTTTTTGTTTTAATTGGGTTTTTTATTGGGTTTTTTATTGTTTTTTTGTTGGTTTGTTTTTGTTTTAATTGGGTTTTTTTGTTGAGTTTTTTGTTTTAATTTGTTTTTTTGTTGGGTTTTTATTGTTTTTTTGTTGGTTTGTTTTTGTTTTAATTGGGTTTTTTTGTTGAGTTTTTTGTTTTAATTTGTTTTTTTGTTGGGTTTTTATTGTTTTTTTGTTGGTTTGTTTGGGTTTTGTTTTAATTGGTTTTTTTTGTTGGGTTTTTTATTGTTTTTTGTTGGTTTGTTTGGTTTTGTTTTAATTGGCTTTTTTTGTTGTTTTTTGTTTTAATTGGTTTTTTTTGTTGGGTTTTTTATTGTTTTTTTGTTGGTTTGTTTGGGTTTTGTTTTAATTGGTTTTTTTTGTTGGGTTTTTTGATTCTTTCTTGTTTTAATTGGGGTTTTGTTGTTTTTTTTGTTTTAATTGGTTTTTTTTGTTGGTTTTTTTGTTGTTGGTTGTGTGTGGTTTTTTTGTTTCATGTTTTCTTCTTTCTTGGGTTTTTTCCAGAGGTTTGGGGAAAAAGGAGATCTGAGCATTCCAAACCGATCGGATTCGGGTGAAAGGAAAAGCTGAAATTAAAATTTCCTTGAATCTGGTGTCGGGGTGAGGGGAATGGTCCAACTTTGGCATAAAAAAGGATGGAAAATTTGGGAATTTTTGGGAGGGGAGCGGGCGGGGCAGCGGAAGTTTCCCTCCATCCCTATTTTTTTTTTTTTTAATATATATATATATATATTTTTTTAACAACTCACCGGGGCAAAAC